ACATGTCTGCGTCTTAGATCCATAGCTTTTATCAGATTTTCAAAGGATTTGTGATCCCAAAAATATACATTCTGTTTCATGGAATGTGGACTCCCAGAAACCCATCCAAATACCCCCAGGGCAGAGATTTTCAAGATTCAGGCCTTTCAGAGCCTCCTAGGAGGCTTTTTTCCACACTGTTTAGAATTGCCACACATGCTCTTCCCCCATGATATTCTGACAGTAGCCCCCAATCACCAATGCACAGTGAGAATCACTGTAGGAAACCGACAGTTCCCAATTGAGCTGATCACTTCCTTCAGATAGGGCCGCAGTAGAGAAGAGGTAGAACTCTTGCCCCCGGGGTTTGCAGTGTCAGATTAGCAGTCAGAAAATCACAGAGGAGATGTCTTTCAGCTATGAGGCCAGAGAGGATTTCTGGAGCATCATGTGAGGCCTGAGATAGAAAAGTGACTTGGCCAAGATCACACAACAAGGTTATGGAACTCCTGGGCCTAGAGCCCATCTTCAGCTCTTCTGGATTTGGGTTTTGGCTTTGAAGGCTTTTTGACCTTGAGAAATGGGATAAGGGAATGGATCAATAAATGTTGAGCAACTAACACTTAGGCCAAGGTTAGACTCTCTACTCTCACAGTCATGGTTGGACGGAGATGGGGATTAGTATCCCTGTTGTACAGATGAAGGAACTGGGAGTCAGAAGGATTACATAACTTGCCCTGATCTGCTAGGAAGGGGCTAAGCCAGGCTCAAGCCCAGGTTTGTCTGACTCTGAAGCCCTTGCTCTTACTACTGTTACTACTGTTAATGCTACTTTGGGCCATTTAGCCTCTTTGAACCCATTTCCAAGGCTGCAAAATGGGAAGGGATTGTTAATCCTAGCATGGTAATTAAGACCTTAGACTCTAGACAGCCTGCTTTGAATCCTAGTTTTGCCATTTATTGGCTGAGTGGCCTTGGGAAAATTTATCCTTCCTAAGTTTCAGTTTTGCAGCTCTAAAGTGGACCTGAATAGTGGAGGAAATGCAAAGTGGACCAGGTAATGGTCCCTGACAAATAAGGCAGTTTTTTTGTTTGTTTGTTTTTGGTTTGTTTTTTGTTTTTTGTTTTTTTGGCAGAATTTCACTCTTGTTGTCTAGGCTGGAGCGCAGTGGCACGATCTTAGCTCACTACAACCTCCGCCTCCCAGATTCAAGCGATTCTGCTGCCTCAGCCTCCCGAGTAGGTGGGACTACAGGCATGTGCCACCACACCCAGCTAATTTTTGTAGTTTTAGTAGAGATGGGGTTTCACCATGTTGGCCAGGCTGGTCTTGAACCAGCCTGGACCTCATAATCCACCTACCTCGGCCTCCCAAAGGTCTGGGATTGTGAGGTGTGAGCCACCACGCCTGACTACCAGGCAGTTTTAATGATTAAATGAGATAATACATGTTTAACATGCAATGTAGTACCTGGTATGTCCTCAGTACAGTTTTGCTATTGTTATTATTATTGTTTATTTTCAGGGATTGTTATGAGGTCACAATGAAGATCCTTGCCATTGACTAAAGGATATGAAAACAGGAGACATTAATACTATTGTTAAGTTGGGTTTTTTGTTCTATCTCATTATGAGAATAGAAAATTATTAAGAATAGCTAAGAATCACTATTTCCATTACTTAGGCAGGCTAAAAGGTAAAGTTAGGGCTGTACTAAGGAGTAGGATAAGATAATTTTGCATTCAAGTGGAAAAGGTAGGGAGAAGCCCCCACCTTTCTATTGCCTCGCTCAAGAAATGTTGAGGAGCTGGGAATACGTTTGGGTGCTTATGAATAGCAAAGGGATTCAGCTTATTTTGGCAGGGGAGTGGCTAGGAAATATGAGAGGTGTTGGTCTAGGTGTGATTCAGTTTTTCTCTAGCCTGGAGAGCTTGGGGTAGCAGCCCCTTGCTTTATAGAGGAGGCAGCAAAGGCTGGGTGACTACTGAGGTTGCACTGGCACCGACCTAGACCCAGGTCCCCCAATTTCAGCTCTTTGGAGAAGAAGCCAATGGGCAAGGTTAGGCAACCAGGAAATCTGAGGGGATGAATTTCCCTTCTCATCCGCCAGCCTGGGCACTAGGAGTGTCTTTGCCCTTAAAAGGCCTTGTTTTGTCTTATCTGACTGCTGCCTGCCTCTTGCTTTTCCTGGGTTAAGCAGAGCTGTCTACACATTAGCCTCTTAGCCTGCCCAGCTGTTGATGGGAGCTGGCTTCTAAGAAGTCTGTCTGTGCAACGTACCATCACTGTGTACAAACTTGGGCCTCACTTTTTTTTTTTCTGGGAGAGCTGTTTGCCCTGTGTTACAGAATGGATGTGAGGACTAGATTAAACATATGATGTCTGGTCACAAAGAAGGTATTTGTAATTGGGATTCTCCTGGACCAGCCCAGCCTCTGAAGTTCTAGAATTAGGTGCCTCCTTTGCCCAAAGGCTATCAGCTATTGGAGGGTAGGGTGGCAGTATGTCCCCCACTGGGTAGCTGTGAACATTAACTGACTTCACCAGTGTAAAGTGCCTGGCACAGGGCCTGGCACAGAGGAAGCCAGAGTCAATGTTGTCTAGTATCACTTTGGAAGGAGAATAAGTCTATGAAATTGCATTAAACTCAGCAGGAGAAGTCCTAAGGAGTGTAGTTTCTCCAGGGGCCACAGAAGACCCTTTGTGTCTCTATGAGATGCCCCAAGGCAACACGGGGCAGAGAGGTCTTCCTGGTGAGGGCTGTTCAAGTACTAAGTGACAGTACCAGGAGGAGTGCAAAGCCCTGGCTCACACCACTGATCTACTGGCAAGATGGGTCTGGAGAAGGCTCATCTGGCCCAGCCAGTGGGGGGAACAGCTACCTTGGTGTTAAACCCACCCCCTCACCTGCCTTTTGTGGTATAGCTGGTGACCCTAATCATCAGGCCATTGCAACATAGCATGGAAGATGGTGCGAGGTGGCATGTGGTCCCTGGCCTTCTCCCTCTACTGCCTTGCACCATGGGCCATGTCCTCTCAGCAGCACCAGTTGAACAGACTTCAGAAGTGGCTTGAGCCCTTATACCATGGTTATGTCAAAGGGAGTGGGCCTGGGGTGGAGGGTACCCTCATCACTGGTGGCAGCCATTAACTATTTCCTTCCCTGCCTAGTCCTGGCATAAGTCCTGCTTTCGATGTGCCAAGTGTGGCAAAGGCCTTGAGTCAACCACCCTGGCAGACAAGGATGGCGAGATTTACTGCAAAGGTGGGTGTTTTCACTTCTAATTGAGGGTCAGGAGGCCCAAGGGGGTGCAGGGGCTAAGTAGTCTTGCCTTTGCTGAATGTAAACTAATTCCTGGCCTTGGGATCCAAGATCCTGAACATCTAGTATGATTCCTTCATTGTACAGATGAGGAAACAAGACCAGAGGGGGAAAGCAACTTGGCCAGCATCATCTGGCAAATCGAGGCAGGCATAGAGCTAGACTTCCTAACTCCCAGTCCAATGCTCTTACAGCAGATGATGCTTCTGTAATTTCAGTGGCTGGGGCAATGGGTACAGGGTGGAACCAAGAGCCTCTTCACCATTTTACTATTGAGACTGGGGTGCTGTGGAGGTGAGGGGGTCCTAGTGGACCTTTCTTCCCTAGCGGCCTGGCTGGGCACTAGGAGTGGGGGATCTTCAGCAGGAGGGTGGGTGGTGCGGCTGGGGGTGGAGGAGGAACATGCCCTTATTGCACTTCTCTCTCCTCTCTCTGCAGGATGCTATGCTAAAAACTTCGGGCCCAAGGGCTTTGGTTTTGGGCAAGGAGCTGGGGCCTTGGTCCACTCTGAGTGAGGCCACCATCACCCACCATGCCCTGCCCACTCCTGCGCTTGTCATCGCCATTCCCTTCCCAGCAGCTTTGGAGACCTCCAGGTTCATTTCTCTCATGCCTGCCACATATCACTAATGACTTGAACTTGGGCATCTGGCTCCCTTTGGTTTGGGGGTCTGCCTGAGGTCCCACCCCACTAAAGGACTCCCCAGGCCTGGGATCTGACACCATCACCAGTAGGAGACCTCAGTGTTTTGAGTCTAGGTGACAGCAGGCCCCTCTCCCCACACTTTGCCCCACAGAGCTCTGTTCTTAGCCTCTTGCGCTGCACGTCCACCATCAGCTGGCCAAGACACCTGGGGACACATCTTGGCGCCCAGAGGAGCAGCAGCAACAGGCTGGAGGGAGAGGGAAGCAAGACAAAGATGAGGAGAGGGGAAGGCTGGGTTTCTTGGATCCCAGAGATCCTCCTCTGTGGGAAAGAAGGTGGGTTTCCTGGTGTCCCTCAGAGTAAGCCTGAGGAGTCCCAGCTTAGGGAGTCACTACCGCAGGCAGAGAGGCAGGCAGCGGGGTCCTAGGAGCCCCTGCTTCTCCAGGCCTCTTGCTTTAGAGGCTTTGTGGAACGGATAGCCTCCCACTAGGAGTGGGAGGAGAATAACCCAGGTCTAAGGACCCCAAAGTCAGGATGTTATTTGATCTTCTCAGACATCTAGTTCCCTGCTTGATGGAGGGATCCTAATGAAATACCTGAAACATACATTGGCATTTATCAATGGCCCAAATCTTCATTTATCTCTGGCTTAACCCTGGGTCCTAAGGCTGTGGCCAGCAGAGCCCAGGCCAGGGTTCTGTTCTTGCCACACCTGCTTGATCCTCACATGTGGAGGAAGGTAGGCATAGCCTCAGTCTTCATCCAAACACCCCTTTCCTTTGCCCTGCGACCTCAGAATCTTCCCTTTAACCCAAGACCCTGCCTCTTCCACTCCACCCTTCTCCAGAGACTCTTAGATCACATCATTCCAGCCCTTCCAGGCCCCAAGTTAGGAGTGGTGGTGGGAGGAAGGGAAAGGGCTGGGCCTCACTGCTCCCAGCGACTGAAAGGACGACACTATCTGGAGCCACCCACTGAAAGGGCTGCAGGCATGGGCTGTACCCAAGCTGATTTCTCATCTGGTCAATAAAGCTGTTTAGACCGGAACTCTGGTGTCCCAATCCTGTGTCTGTGGAGCTGGGAGGGAACTCGATGAGAGCAATCAAATTAGCTGGGGCTTTGGGAGGCCGAGGCAGGTGGATCACCTGAGGTCAGGAGTTTGAGACCAGCCTGGCTAACATGGTGAAACTCCATCTCAACCAAAAAGACAAAAAAATTAGCCAGGCGGGGTGTGGGTGCCTGTAATCCCAGATACTCGGGAGGCTGAGGCAGGAGAATCACTTGAACCCGGGAGGCAGAGGTTGCAGTGAACTGAGATCACGCCATTGCACTCCAGCCTAGGCAACAAATGCAAAACTCTGTTTCAAAAAAAAAAAAAAATTAGCAGGCAGCCTGGTGGAAATGAATCAAAGTGGATTCGTTCCTGCTTTTTCTAAGGACCAATTGCTTCTCAGTATCAATTCCAACTGAACCACACTGTCTGAAGTGACCTGACCAGCCAAATACCACTGGCTTGTCCTGTCTGGTCTCCACCCCCAAATCTGGGCCTGGGAATTGCATGGACTTTGGTCTTGGAGGGCTCAGCTAGGCCCCAAAACTGCTCAGAACTTCTCCCAGCTTGGAAAGCCCCAGCCTAAGAGGGAAACTCAACCAGAGGAACTTTCACGTCAAATCTAGAAAGCTCACTTCTGCCTAGGAGGGGTGTGGTGGAGGGGCCTGGGCCAGCCTGCTGTGCTGTTAGGGCCCCCACAGCAAGTCCGTGGAAGGCCGCATTTTTTGGTAATAGGCTCATGTGAGGGGTTGCAGCATCCTTCATCTTAGGCACACCTGCCTGATGCGTTGGGGCTGAGCTGCTCTGCTTTCAGCCCTTCTCGAAAATGTGCCCACACTAAATTTTCAAAACAAAAGCAGATGCTTTAACAACAACGAGGCCTCGTATACCTATTTCCCAGATGACCAGCTCCAACAGTGGCCTTGACAGAGCCCCCTCCTTGACTCTGAGAAAGGGACCTATGCATGCATAACACCCATCAATGGTGCAGAGCAATAGAAAAGTGCAAGGTGACAGGGAGAAGAGCTGGAGGAGTTCAGAGAATGCCAGCCCAGGGTGGGCACTGGCTGGGAGTTCTGCAATCGGGGTCAAGGGCTCCATCTTGGTAACCCCTCTGGCTCCAGCACAGGGGGTGGCCCACGAAAGGTGCTCCAGACACGTTTCTGCAGCCAGGAGGACTGCTGGTTCCACTCACGCAACGGAACCCTCCTGTTCTGGGAGGGGCCTCAGGAGTGGCCCGGATGGGAGCCTTTGGGGCCCAAAGCTGGAGAGAGTCTGCCCTCTGCTGGCTGCCCGGGAGCGCCTGTCGGCGACTCATCCTCCTGTCCCTTGCACCACTAGCTGTCCTGCTCCGGGGCCACTGTCTTTCAGTGCAGCCCCACTGTGGGCAGGGCCCGGACGCACCTCCTGGGAGTAAGACCTGGGTAAAGGCAGGGGGCTGTAAGCCAGCTGCGGCCAGGCCAGGAAGCACTCACTGGACGGTGAAGGGCCAGGCAGGGTGGCGCAGCAAGGAAGGAGGAACAACAGGCAGGGGAGGCCCGGCTGGAAGGAGGGTCGGCTGACGGGGAGAGGGCCCAGCATCCGCAAGCACGGCGCTTGCGCCGTCCCAGGAGACACCAGGTGGTGCTATGGGGTCAGGGCAAAAGGCAGGCGCTGCCTTTCCGCGCACCCCACTCCCTCCTCCTCTCCCCGTGGACTCTGAGGACTCAGCTCCTGCGCAAGACAGCGCACGCGTGTAATTCCCGACGCTCACTTCTCCTTTGAGGGTTGGCGCGCTTCGGGGCCCTGTGGAATACCAAACCCTGTGGAATTGACCCAAAGGGTCACCAAAGAGTGAGCAAGGACTTTTTTTTTTTTTTTTTTAAAGACAGAAGTTTGCTCTTTAGTGCAATGGTGCGATCTCGGCTCACCGCAACCTCTGCCTCCCGGGTTCAAGCGATTCTCCTGCCTCAGCCTCTGAGTAGCTGGGATTACAGGCATAAACCACCCCGCCCGGCTAATTTTTGTACTTTTTTTGGTAGAGACGGGGTTTCTCCATGTTGGTCATGGCTGGTTGGTCTCGAACTCACGACCTCAGGTGATCCGCCCACCTCGGCCTCTCAAAGTGGTGGGATTACAGGCATGAGCCACCGCGCCCGGCCGGGTTGAGCAAGGTCTTTATGTCCACTTGGGTATTTCTTTTCTCGCTTCTGTCATCTCGGAGCAACGTGTCTAGGGCGACCTCTGGAGAATGTATTTGGTGGGAGCTATGCCCAGCCGCAGGAGCGGTCGAGCCCTGGGCTTTTTAGGATATGATAGGAAACAGCTGCCCCTCCCGATGGGCGGCAGGCCCAGCCTCCTCGGACTGCCCTTCTCCAAGAGCCTTAGCAAATTGTCTGGGTCACCTGAGAGGCTGGGGAGGGACAGGAAGACCCGGAGGCCGACTGGAGAGATGAGGATAGAGATCTTGGGGAGAGGAGGTTGGGGGGTGTTAGAGCTGCTATTAAGTGTGGGAGTGATCCCAGAATCAAGGGCCACAGAAATTATTCGAGGTGGGGCACTCAATCGCTTCTCGGCCTTTGGCTAAGATCAAGTGAGGGGGCCACCCAGCGAGGCACGATCCACCGACTTAGATCAGTGGAGGTGAGTGTGGCGGAGTGAGGAACGCAGGGATTAACTACTGGACGGTCCGACCCTTCCCCCGCCTAGCCCCCGTGCCACGCCCAGCCCTGGCCCCGCCTCCAAGCCCAGCCTTTATTCTGAGACTCATTGGGGAAGCCTTTAAAAATAGTTCCCAGCCCCACCCCTAGAGATTCTGATTCGGTTGGCCTGGGTGGGGCCTGGGAATCTGTATTCGACAAGCTCCTCAGGTGATTCTCTGACACTCGCCCGGGCTCAGCAGGGCTTGAGAAACTGCGGACCAGCCCAGCATCCCAGCAGGTGCCGACCTCCACCCGGCAGCTCAACCTCAACCACTTAGTTGCCAACAGCTCCGCGCCCCGCCCCGCCGCGCAGCTGGGGTTGCCTCTGAACAGTTCTAATGATTAGAGAGGACTTCCTGGAACTTCCTATTTCTGTCCCCTAGAGTCATCCAGAACAGGTCTAATCCCTCTCCTGCATGAGAGCGCTTCAGAGATTTGAAGACAGCTGTCGGCTGCCTGAGTCTGCTCCTCCCCACTAGAGATCCCCTGGCCTTTCAGCGCTTCCTGATGGAGGCACCAGGCAGTCCAGCGAGTCCAGTGAAGGAGGAAAAACACAGCCAGGGGTTGGGTGCCGTCCAGTGGCCAGAGAAACAAACTGGGGACTTGCAATAGGTCAAAGGGATAGAACAGAGGCAGCTCCCCCTGGGAAATGCCTGTCTCCTGCCTTTCTAGGGTACAACTTCCTCCAACCCAGTCTTCTTTTGGACATTTTGGAAACATTATTCATCCAACTTGTGTGCTTACTATATGCTATAGACTGTTTGAAGATCTTTAATGTATTAACTCACTTAATTCTCACATTACTCATCCATCTTGTGTGCTTAATATATGCTATCAACTATTTGAAGACCTTAAATGTATTACCTCATTTAATTCTCACAATGTCCCCATGAAGTAGGTGCTGTCATTTTACCCACTTATAAATGATCAAACTGAAGCCAAGAACCAAAGAACAATTCAACAACCGTCTCAAGGTCAAATTGAGCAGGATATAAATGCAGGCAGCTGGGTTCAGGTCCCATTCCTGCAGGGCCATACCTAACATCCCTGCCTTAAGAAGAAACAGTTATGTACTAGGGGTATGAGGCCTGGTGCTGAAATGGTGAGTTAGGACCATAGCAATAGCTAACAGTTATTGAGCACATACTATGTGCCTGGCACTGGTCTAGATGTTTTCTTATTTGATCCTCATATAAGCACTAGGAGGTAATTATATTATCCCTTTATTATATAAGAGGAAACTGAGATTCAGTGAATTTTAAAGAGACTTACTTAAGTCCCTGGCAAGTGGTGGAGCCAGGATTGGAACCAGCTGTGTGACTCTGGGCCTGCCTCCTCCCCTCTGGGTGTCGGCTCCTCATTTGTGAAGTGAAGACGTTGGCCTAAATTAGTTCTGGGGAAATGCTTCTCAAGCTTTAATGTGCATATGAATCTCCTGGGGATCTTGTTAAAATGCAGATTCTAGTTCAGTAGTTTTGGGTGGGGCCTGAGATTGGACATCTCTCACAAGCTCCCGGGGGAGGTGGTGCTGATGTTGCTGATCCTGGGACCACACTTGAACAGCCAAGCTTCAGGGAATCCACCCAACTCTGATGTCCCAAGTTTATGGGCCTAGGAAGACTCACCCTAAAGGCCATGAAAATTCAGGAAGCAGATTATCACGAATAAAGCCCTTAGTGGGCATTTTCCATGCCTGAACAAGCCCTTGGTGCCTTTTCAAAAGCACCTGCTCCTGAGCCTTCTACATTTCCACCCTGTTGACCTCAACCTGACTCTTCCAGAGAGTTCAAGGGCTTGGTCCCAGGCCAAGGGGGACTGTTGCTACCTACTGGAGGAGTGAAGAGGTATCTCTGTGACTCTGCCTTCTGGTGGTACCCAGCAGTCCCATGGCAACCACATTGTCTAGTCCTTTAAGGGATGTTCACAGATATTCCTGGGTACACAGTAATATCTACGTTTACATTTAGAGGTTACATTTGGCCCCATCCCTTGAATTTTGATGTGGTGATGTGGCTTGCTGTGGCCTTTAATTGAGACCAGAAGTGTCACTTCTGAGCAGATTTTTCTTTTTTTTTTTGAGATGGAGTTTCCCTCTTGTTGCCCAGGCTAGAGTGCAGTGGCGCAATCTCGGCTCACTGCAACCTCTGCCTCCCGGGTTTAATCGATTCTCCTGGCTCAGCCTCCCGAAGTAGCTGGGATTACAGGTGCCTGCCACCACACCCAGCTATTTTTTTGTATTTTTATTTGAGACGAGTTTCATCATGTTGGCCAGGCTGGTCTTGAACTCCTGACCTCAGGTGATCCACTTGCC